AGCAGGTGCCACCGACAGAGGAGCAGACAGCAACTAGGCCGACCAAGGAGCAGTCGGCGACCTGGCAGTCAGCAGGGGAGCTGACCGCAGGGGAGAAATCGGTCGGGACGCCGACCGAGGTGCAGCAGGACGATGAGACCAGCGGCGGCACTGCAGATGGAAGGGAGCAGTTGGGTGACGAGGAATCCACCAACTGTGACGTGGTGGAGGCTCCGCCTGAACCCCGGAAATCAGGTCGACTTCGGAGGCCTCCTGACTTCTTCATCACCCCCGCATTCACCACGGTGTATGACGTGGTCGACGAGGACGACGACCTGCTGTACGACGACGCCGACGAGGATGAAGAGTTTCCGGAGCTCGACCCCGACATGCTGGTCAACCCCGAGCACCGCTGGGACATCTCGACGATGACGGTGAAGGAGGCGCTGGCGAGCTGGAAGGGTCCGGCGGTGAAAGCCGCCATGGAGGAGGAGATCCGCAGCCTCATCAGCAACGGCACGTGGGAGCTGGTCGAACGCCCGCCGGGAGTGAACATCATGAAGAACCGGTGGGTGTTGACGACGAAGTACCACATCGACGACACCGTCGAGCGCAAGAAGGCGAGGCTGGTCGTGAAGGGCTTCACGCAGGTGTATGGTGCCGACTACGACAAGACGTACGCGCCGGTGAGCAGCTACGTCACGCTGAAAATTTTCCTCAGCATCGTCGCCGTCCTCAACCTGAACCTGATGCAGCTCGACATGAAGAACGCCTTCCTGCAGAGCAAGCTCGACCGGGTGCTGTACATGTACCAGCCGGACTACTTCAACGACGGGACCGGCCGGGTGTGCAAGCTGCTGAAGAGCCTCTACGGGCTGAAGCAGTCGCCGCTGCTGTTGTACTTAGCACTCAACGACGTGCTGGTCGGCGCTGGCTGGAAGAAGAGCCAGGTCGACGAGGCCCTCTACTTCAAGGTCGGCAACGACAAGGTGACCTGCTGGGTGCTAGTCTACGTCGACGACCTGCTTGCCGCCAGCAGCAGCCCAGCGATGCCGAAGGAGCTGAGGGAGCTACTAGAAGCCGCCTTCGAGCTGCGCGAGATCTCGCCAGTGCAGAAGTACCTCGGGCTGGAGATCGTGCGCGACAGGTCGGCGGAGAAGCTGTGGCTGCACCAGCAGGGCTACGCCGACAAGCTGCGTAGGCGCTTCATCGACGAGGAGCAGGGCGGACGGACTCCGAAGACGCCGGTCTCGGTCGACGCCTACGCCGAGCTCACCTTCGACGATGAGGAGGCGCAAGAGCGACAGGAGGAGTACCGGCAGAAGGTCGGCTCGCTGCAGTTCGCGGCGACGACGACAAGGCCGGACATCGCCTTCGCCTGCAGCAAGCTGGGGAGCGGCCTCACGGTGAGGAGCGACCAGCACTGGCGCGAGGTCGACCGCTGCCTCGCCTACCTCGCCAACACGCGTGACACCGCCCTGGAGTTCGGCAGTGGACCTGAGTCACTGGAGCTGGTCGGCTACGTGGACGCCGACGACGCCGGCGACAAGCAGAACAGGACGAGTACGGGAGGCTATGTGTTCGTCTACGGAGGGGCCGCAGTCTCCTGGTCGAGCCAGCGCATCAAGTGCGCGACGCTGTCGTCGACCGAGTCGGAGTACGTGGCGGCCGTTGAAGCCGGCAAGGAGGGACGCCGACTTCGCTTCCTCCTGGCAGAGTTCCGGCAACTGGACGCCGGGAAGCCGACTGTCCTCAGGGTGGACAACAAGTCGGCCATCACAGTCGCCGAGGGCATGGGGTTGACAGGCAACCTCAAGCACATGGAGCGACAGGAGACAGGCCTGGCTGCAGCACATGGTGAAGCGGGGGAAGTTTGCGCTGCAGCACATGCCGACCACCGAGCAGCCGGCCGACTTCCTGACGAAGGCGCTGCACTATCCGGCCTTCAACCGGTGCTCCGTTGCGATCGGCCAGGTGCGCTTGGCCGATGTGGGCGACGAAGTTGACGAATTGCAGTAGTAGGTGCCATGCCCTCTTGCATGGCTGGTACGGTAGACGACGTGCTGTGTGTTGGGTGCACGTCGACGAGCTATTCTCCGAGAAGTACTGCCGTGTGGGCTGGGGGCCCAAGCGTGAACGCGGCAGGGGAGTGTCAACGGGAGTTGGGTGTTGGCCGCGTCCTCGCTTGGGCGGAGCCGACTTCGTGGTCGGGTGTAGGGGTGCAGCCGACCTACAGCAGTGGGCAAGCTGGTCGACGAGGTGGGTCGACCTGCACGAGAGCCACTTCATGGGCGCCGACTTCGGGAGGTGCGCCAGATTCGAATGGTCGACCTGGGATGTCGACCTGCGGAGGGCGTCGACTTGGTGACGCCAACTTGGGGCAGCCGACTTGGGTGGTCGGCTGACAGAACTTCTGGTCGACCTGGTTGGTCGACCAGGCCTGTTGGTCGACTTAGCTGGTCGACCAGGCCCGCTCGTCGACTTGGTGGTTGGTCGACCAGGCGTGAGGTCGACCTGGTGGTCGACCGACCATGAGTGACGTCGACCTGGAGTTGGTCGACCAGGGGTAGTGGTCGACCTGGTGAGGTCGACTGGAGGTGGCCGTCGACTTGGGAGGTCGACAGGCACCTGCAGGAGCAGCTGGTCGACCCGGTTGCCAGGTCGACCATGTTACCTGGGTGGCGAGGTTCTGCGAAGGCACGCGACGGTCGCCCAGGCGATGTTGGCGAGGACGACCTCGGTGGTGGTATCCAGAGGTCGACCTGGCAGATCATATGCAGTCGTCAGCACGAGGTGGACTTGGTGTGTGCGCTGTGCAGGTGACGAAGCAGTGCACGCCAATCATCTACGAGCACCTGCGAAGCGGGTGCGATGCTGGACTGCAGGAGCAACGCTGGCACGCCGTCGACTTGCGCTGTTGTCACGCCGTCGACCTGCAGCGTTGGCAAGCCGCGACTCTGCACTGCTGGAGCGCGGTCGACCAAGTCGTGCTGGCACGCGGTCGACCGTGCTGCGCTGGCAGTCGACTTGCTTGCATCCTAGCTCTGATGTAGTCTTGCCTAGCCAACTTCATTGTATCATTGTTGTCAACTTTCTCTAGTGAAACTCTTGCCAAATTGTCTTGTGAACTAGCAAGCAGTGTGTGCACTAGGAAAACGACTAAGGAACCGAGAACGCAGAGATCACACGAGCACTCGTGCCTAGCCCGTAGTCTAGCTCCCGTTATAGTAGTTATCTCCGCAGTAAGTGCGTTGCTTTCCCGTGTAGTTGGTTCTAAGATTTAGTGCCTTGCTTACCCGTATGGTTAGTACTAAGAGTAAGTGCATTACTTACCCGTGTAGTTGGCACTAAAATTATGTGTGTTACTTACCCGTATGGTTGGTACTAAGAGTAAGTGCGTTACGTACCCGTGTAGTGGGCACTAAAATTAAGTGTGTTACTTACCCGTATGGTTGGTACTAAGAGTAAGTGCGTTACTTACCCGAATAGTTGGTACTTAGCTTATGTACGTTACTTATCCGTATGGTTGGTACTAAGAGTTCGTACGTTACTTACCCGTGTAGTTGGTACCAAGATTGATTATGTGACTTACCCGTATGGTTGGTACTAAGAGTAAGTGCGTTACTTTCCCGTGTAGTTGATACTAAGATTAGTTGCGTTATTTACTTGTATGGTTGGTACTGAATTGTGTGTTTCTTACCTGTATGGGTGGTACTAAGGGTCTGTGCGTTACTTTCCCATATAGTTGGTACGAAGATTTCCTGCGTTACTAAGAGTCTGTGCATTACTTACCCGAGTAGTTGGTACAAAGATTAAATGTGTTACATACCCGTATGGTTGGTACTAAGAGTGAATGCGTTTCTTACCCATGTAGTTGGTACTAAGATTAGCTGCGTTACTTACCCGTATGGTTGGTATTACAATCAAGCGCGTTACTTACCCGTGTAGTTTGTATTAGTGCGTTACTTACCCGTATGGATGGTACTAAGAGTCTGTGCGTTAATTACCCGTATGGTTGGTACTGAGTAAGTGTGTTTCTTACCTATATGGTCAGGACTAAGATTAAGTGCGTTACTTGCCCGTGTTGTTGGTAGAAAGAGTAAGTTTGTTATCTACCCGTATGGTTGGTAATAAGAGTAAATGTGTTACTTACCTGTGTAGTTGGTGCTAAGACAAAGTGTGTTACTTAGCCGTTTGGTTGGTTTAAGGGTCTGTACGTTATTTACCCGCGTAGTTGGTACTAAGATTAAGGGCGTTACTTACCCGAATGGTTGGTAATAAGAGTAAGTGTGTTACGTACCCGTGTGGTCAGCACTATGATTAAGTGCATTACTTAACCGTATTGTTGGGAGCAAGAGTTAGTGCGTTTACCCGTATGTTTGGTAGTAAGAGAAAGTGGGTTTCTTACCCGTATGGTTGATATTAAGAATATGTGCGTTACTTTTCTGTGTAGTTGATACTAAGATTTTGTGCGTTACTTACCCATATCGTTGGTACTAAGAGTCTGTGCGTTACTCTTATCCACTTACTATCTTTGGTACTAACCATATGGGTAAGTAATGCACTTACTCTTAGTACCAACCAGATCTGTAAGAACTCTTAGTACCAACGATATGCATAAGTGACGCACTTGCTCTTAGTACCAATCACATGGGTAAGTAACGCACATATTAGTAGTGCCAACTGTATCTGTATCGCACTTACTGTTTATACCAACCACACAGGTAGGTAAAGCACTAATTCTTAGTACCAGCCAAACGCATAAGTGACGCATCTTAGTACCAACCACACGGGTCAGTAACGTACTTACCATACAGGTACATAACGCACTTACTCTTAGTACCGACCACACGGGTAAGCAACGATTTTACTCTCTGTACCAATCCCCGGGTAAGTAACGCCTACTCTTAGCACCAACCACATGGATACGTACTGCACTTTCTCATAGTACCAACCACATAGGTAAGTAACGCACTTACTCTTGGTAGCAATCACACGATTAAGTACTGCACTTACTCTCTATGGATACCGACCACACGGGTAAGTAACGTACTTACTCTAAGTACCCACCACATGGGATGTGAGACTACGACGACTTATGCTGGCTTTGCTAGCTTGCCTTTACTTTATTATGCATTATCTAGCTTAGCTTTGCTTTTATTTGCTTGCTTTTGCTAGATTTCCTAGGTTCGTTGCTTTTACTATATTTATTATAGTTATAGGCACCGAACTAGGTTGAGTGCACCGAATTCTAGGCTTTTCGGTTGCCACCGAATTGCCTTTTACCGAATTCGGGAAGGCTCTGTTCGGGACGCTTCGCGACCCTCGAAACCTTCGCGTAACACCTGGTTACTAGGCCTTGTGTCGAGCCTATATATAGCCTCGCGTTGTACCCAGGTGAAACATTCAATTCGAATTCTCTTTTCTGAGCTCGATCCTAAGATCCTCACACTCGGTATTCAGAGCCTGTTTACACGCGAGTTTTTCGACCGCTAAATCCTAGCTTTTAAAACCGCGGGGGCGACGACGAACGCGCCGATTTCGGGTACGTAAACCAATTCCGCGCTGATTTTTAACGTCCCCCTCGAACCGGTTTTCAAACAATCTTCAGGAACATTTGGCAAAAAAGTTGGAATTTCAGCCGTCGGATCGATTTCGACATCAACGGGTGCCCTCGCAATTTCGCCCAAAAAAGTTTGAATTTGGGGCGTCGGATCGAATTGTAGCTGAACGGCCGAGATCTGACGCGAAATTCGGCTAAGGGAGAATTACGCGACTAGCAGAAACGGCGCTCGACATTTCTACAGTCGATTTTATTCGCAGTAAGTCGACCGGCGCCTAGTTTTCAATTATTTCTGTCGCAAATCTTCCTGTAAATCGCCAAATGGAGGAAAACGGTGATAATTCCGTACGAAAAATTACGGAGTTACGCACCGACCTGGACCAGATGCGAGCGGCACTCCAGCGATTAGAGGAGCTCCTCGCGAACCAGTCGGTAGCCGCCACAGCAGCAGCGAACGTAGCAGCGGGGATGCAGCAGCGACGGTAGCAGCAGCAACGGCGACACCGACACTTCACCAAGCAGCAGCCACAGTGAATCTTGAGGCGGCACGTCCGAGGATACCGGAGGCGTTTAATCCGAATGCGAGAGACGCCGACGTCCGTCGATTCATTGCGACACTCGAAATTTATTTCGAGGCCGTTGGCTGTACGACCCCGACACATGATGCAATGCGGATTCGGCTCGCAGCAACACTGTTACGAGGCCCGGCGCTCGAGTGGATTTACAACAGTAAGGAGATCCGAGGCGAGGGGTCATGGACGCAGTTTCGGGCAGCTTTAATTCAACGTTTCGAACCGATCAATTCCAGCTACATGGCGCGGCAGCAGATTCATCGGCACAAAATACGGCAGTGTAATACAGTACACGCAGCAGATGGAGAGCCTCTTCAATCGAATTACCGACCTGACCGAAGGGGAAAAAATCCAAGCGTATACTGAGGGGCTAAAAATGGAAGTCCACCAACAGGTGATTGCCGCGAACTACAACAACTACCGCGACATGGTGTGTGCAGCAGAGAGATTCGATGCGCTGACGCGAGGTCAACCCGAGACACGACGCCACGTGCCGAACAGATCATTCGACACGAAGCGATCGGCACCACCCACGACCGCCGACCTGATGGATATCGACAAGATCGACGCGAAGCAGCGACTGACAAAAAATGAGAAGTGCGACTTTTGTGGCGCAGCGGGACATCGATTCTTGGCGTGTTGGAAAATGAAGAAGGCACGAGCACAGTTGCAGGGCAACAACAGTGCGGCACCCACGAAGTCAACAATTGTGGCGACTTCGGAGAGGGCGAAAAAAGGAGGACATGATGGCGCGAATTCAAAACGTCACGACCGGCCGGCACCAGGGGAAATCGCCGAGACAAATGGAGGCTCCGCGAAACAAGACTCTGCACCGACCGGGAAACTCCAGCCGAACACCCACGAAAGTAAGAATTCGTTAAAGTTATCCTACAAAGATACTTTAACTAAGAATATTACTTCTCGTGATTTTCAAGCCTTCAGGGGAGATTTTGAGGCTAAGAAAAGCCCCCAGAGATTATTCAGGTACTTGAGAAGTTGGGCAAACTACTCCGGAGAGTTAATATCCTCTCCCCGCAGCACAGTGTTAAGGCTCCCCATTGCCCACAGGAGAAGCCTACACAGCTGCAACGGCTTAGGGGAAGGTTCCAGGCCAAGACGAAGCTGAATCGGCCTCGGATAAATCCTTCCAACCCTTCTCAATTGAAGACTGATATTCAGTCAGCAGCTTCGAGCGCAGGACCTAGGTATCATGTATCCGACGTACCCTATGATCCTGTAAGCGAGACCATCTACGGTTACTCGGAGCAGCAGCAGCCACTACTCCTCGAGGTGATCTGCAACGGGCGACGCCTCCAGGCACTGGTGGACAGCGGTGCGTCCCACTCGGTGTGTGACCGCGGGACGTTGGAGAAAATTGGAGAGAAGTCGGAAGAGACCCAGTTTTCAGTAACGATGGTGGACGGTACGAAGCTTCCCATCCACGGCGAAGCATCATTGCAGCTGCATATAGGTGCGTTACGATGGAAGCCGACGTTGCCGATCACGAACATCAAGGGATTAGATTTCATCTTGGGGCGAGATTTTCTGAAGCAGTTCAACCCCGAGATCGATTGGGTCAATCGGAAGGCGTGCATCTGTAACAACGGGAAACGAGTGGAGCTACGAAGCTGGACGGATACAGGGGATGTTCCTGAAACGACACTGGCACGGTTCGAACGGACGGTGAACGAGAGTAACATGGGTTACTTAGCACTGGTCATGGCAGCAGCAGAGGAGGAGAAGCCGAGTTTGGAGCTACCTGCAGCAGTGAATGAGGTCTTGGAGCAGTACAAGGACATAATGCCCGACGACCTACCTGCAGGCGTACCTTCCGCACGCACCCACGGTCACGAGATCGCGGAAGAACCAAGTGCGAAACCCGTCTCACGTGCACCATACCGACTGAGTCTGACCGAACTGTTAGACATGAAGAAACAGATCGAGTATCTACTAGACAGACAACTGATCCGCCCATCCACCTCTCCCTACGGTGCACCAGTTCTCTTCACACCAAAACCAGACGGCAGTTTACGGATGTGCATCGACTACCGCGCACTGAACAAACAGACAGTTAAAAACAAATACCCCATACCGCGCATCGACGACTTACTGGACCAACTGCGTGGTGCAACAGTTTTCTCGAAGCTGGACCTACGGTCGGGTTACTGGCAGATCAAGATGGCGGACAACTCGATCCACAAAACGGCGTTCCGTACGAGATACGGCTCCTACGAGTACTTAGTGATGCCGTTCGGACTCTGCAACGCACCAGCGACGTTCCAGGCGAAGATGAACCACATCCTACGGCCCCTGCTGGACGAGTGCGTAGTAGTGTACCTGGACGATATCCTCATCTACTCCAAGAACATGAAGGAGCACGTGGAGCATCTGCGGAAGGTGTTCGAGATCCTGCGGAAAAATAAGTTCTACGTGAAGCTGTCGAAGAGCGACTTCGCCTTTAAGAAGGTGCAGTTTCTCGAGCACATGGTGAGTGCCGAGGGCGTACACGTGGACCCGCGGAAAATCGAAGCCGTTAAAAAGTGGAAAGTTCCGGAGAACGTGAAGGAGTTGCAGCAGTTCCTCGGCTTTGCCAACTACTACAACAGGTTTGTGCCACAGTACGCTAAGATAGCAGCGCCACTGACAGACCTACTGAAAAAGGACACGCCCTTCAAATGGGATACTCCTCATCAGCAAGCCATGGAACAGCTACAGACAGCACTGACCACAGCGCCAGTACTCATCCTACCGAACCCCAAGAAAGACTACGTAGTTTAAGCAGATGCTAGTGACCAGGCAGTCGGAGCAGTACTGATGCAGGATCACGGGAACGGTTTACAGCCTATCGCCTACCTCAGTAAGAAGTTACACGGAGCAGAACTGAACTACCCCATACACGACAAGGAAGCCTTAGCCATAGTCGTAGCCTTCAAGGCGTGGAGGTGTTACCTAGAGGGAGCCAAGACCACAGTCTATACTGACCACTGCAGCCTCAAATACCTGAAGTCGCAGCCGACGCTCTCACGACGACAGGTGCGGTGGGTGGATTTCTTGGAGACCCACTTCCACTACGATATAGTCTACAAACCCGGGCTACACAACAAAGCTGACGCGTTGAGCCGCCCAGGTCATGTAGCAGGCATCCAGCTCGACGGGATGAACCCTCTGCTCAAGGGTCTATTCCAACATGGGTACTCCGTGGACGGCGAGATCGCAACGGCAGAGAAACAGAAGCTGTTACAGTGGGAGAAAGACTTAGCGGTAAGGAAGGGTTCAGGAAAGATTTGGGTACCGAATTACGCCCCGCTACGGCAGATCCTATTGGAGGAGTTTCATGACGTACCATACGCGGGACATTTCGGGAGCAACAAAACGTTAGCGGGAATAGCGAAGTATTACTACTGGCCCCGGATGGCAGCAGACGTGCAGCAGTTCGTCACCTCCTGCGACACGTGCCAGCGGATGAAGAGTAGCAAGCAGAAAAAAGCAGGGTTACTTCAGCCTCTACCGAGCAGCCATGGCAGGTCGTTAGTCTCGACTTCATCACAGGACTTCCTTCGACCTCACGGGGACACGATTCCATCCTCGTAGTCATCGACAAGTTCTCCAAAATGGGTCACTTCATACCGACCAACGCCACAGCTACTGCTGAAGCAACTGCTCGACTCTTCTTCGACCGCATCATCACCATCCACGGCATCCCCGCTACACTCATCTCAGACAGAGACCCCAAATTCACGAGTAAGTTCTGGAAGGAGCTTATGGGACTGTTGGGGACTAAGCTTGCGATGTCTTCAGCATACCATCCCCAGACTGACAGACAGACAGAGCGACTCAATCAGGTGGTTGAACAGTTACTGCGCACAGCTTGCAAAGACGATATCAGCCACTGGGACACACAGTTACCGACCTTAGAGTTCGCTTACAACAACGCCTCGCATGCGGCCACAGGGAAATCTCCTTTCTTCCTGTGTTACGGACGGGAACCACTCACCCCACAGCAGCCAACCACACCGGCACACGTCCAAGCCGCACACGACTTCGTCACCACCATGCAGCAGCTATGGGAGAAGACTCAGCGACGTCTCACCACGATGCAGAACTCCCAGAAGCAGTATGCCGATCGTCAGCGACGAGATCACTCGGTAGCAGTCGGAGATCAGGTGCTTCTTGACACGCGCAACTTGAACCTGTCTCACCTACCATCCAAACTTCGGTCACGCTTCTGTGGTCCATTTTTCGTGGAGGCACAGGTGACACCAGTTACATTCCGCTTGCGCTTACCAGATACGTGGAAGCTTCACAACGCTTTCCATGTTCAGCTACTGAAGCCCTACAAGGACCCCAACCAACAGTTCCAGGGACGGCAGCTACCGCCACCACCACCTGTTCTTGTGCAGGATGAACCAGAGTATGAGATTAAGCGCGTTCTCACTCATCGGCGCTGCGGCGGCAAGACCCTCGAGTTCCTGATACGCTGGAAGAGATACGACCCCACTGAGGATAGTTGGGTTGCAGACGCTGATATGGGCAACGCACGCCGTGCTCTCAGGGACTATCTTGTCAAGCAGGGTGTATCTCACGCCACCCAGCTTTGAGGGGGGGACGTGTGAGAGTACGACGGCTTATGCTGGCTTTGCTAGCTTGCCTTTACTTTATTATGCATTATCTAGCTTAGCTTTGCTTGATTTTGCTTGCTTTTGCTAGATTTCCTAGGTTCGTTGCTTTTACTATAGTTATTATAGTTATAGGCACCGAACTAGGTTGAGTGCACCGAATTCTAGGCTTTTCGGTTGCCACCGAATTGCCTTCTACCGAATTCGGGAAGGCTCTGTTCGGGACGCTTCGCGACCCTCGGAACCTTCGCAAAATACCTGGTTACTAAGCCATGTGTCGAGCCTATATATAGCCTCGCGTTGTACCCAGGTGAAACATTCAATTCGAATTCTCTTTTCTGGGCTCGTTCCTAAGATCCTCACATGGGCAAGTACCGCACTTTCTCATAGTACCAACCACATGTGTAAGTAACGCACTTATTCTTCGTAGCAACCATCCGTGTAAGTAATGTGCTTACTCTTTCTACCGACCACACGGATAAGTAACACATAAGTGACGCATTTAGTCATAAGTACCAACCCCTCGGGTTAGTAACGCATTTACTCGTAGTGCCAACCACTCGGGTAAGTAACGCTTACTCTTGGTACCAACCACATGGTTATGTACCGTACTTACTCTTAGTACTGAGCACATGGGTAAGTACCGCACTTACTCTTAACACCAACCATATGCGTATGTACCGCACTTGCTCTTGATACCAAGCACATGGGTAAGTAACACACTTGCTCTTAGTGTCAACGGGAGTTGGGTGTTGGCCCCGTCCTCGCTTGGGTGGAGCCGACTTCGTGGTCGGGTGTAGGGGTGCAGCCGACCTACAGCAGTGGGCGAGCTGGTCGACGAGGTTGGTCGACCTGCACGGGGAGCCACTGCATGGGCGCCGACTTCGGGAGGGCGCCAACTTCGGGTGGTCGACCTGGGAAGTCGACCTGCAGAGGGCGTCGACCTGGTGACGCCATCTTGGGGCAGCCGACTTGGGTGGTCGGCTAACGGAGCTTCTGGTCGACTTGGTTGGTCGACCAGACCTGCTGGTCGACTTGGTGGTTGGTCGACCAGGCGTGAGGTCGACCTGGTGGTCGACCAGATAGGATAGTCGACGAGGAGCTGGTCGACCATGAGTGATGTCGACCTAGGGCTGGTCGACTAGGGGGCAGTGGTCGACCTGGGGAGGTCGACTGGAGGTGGCCGTCGACTTGGGAGGTCGACGGGCACGCACAGGAGCAGCTGGTCGACCTGGTTGCCCGGTCGACCATGTTACCTGGGTGACGAGGATCTGCGAAGGCACGCGAAGGTCGCCCAGGCGATGTTGGCGAGGACGACCTCGGTGGTGGTATCCCGAGGTCGACCTGTCGGTTTAGAAGCTGTCGTCAGCACGAAGTTGAATTCGTGTGTGCGTTGTGCAGGTGACGAGGCACTGCACGCCAATCATCTGCGAGCACCTGCGAAGTGGGTGCGATGCTGTACTACGGGAGCAACGCTGGCACGCCGTCGACTTGCGCTGTTGTCACGCCGTCGACCTGCAGCGTTGGCAAGCCGCGTCTCTGCACTGCTGGAGCGCGGTCGACCAAGTCATGCTGGCACGCGGTCGACCGTGCTGCGCTGGCAATAGACTTGCTTGCATGCTAGCTCTGATGTAGTCCTACCTTGCCAACTTCATTGTATCATTGTTGTCAACTTTCTCTAGTGAAACTCTTGCCAAATTGTCTTGTGAACTAGCAAGCAGTGTGTGCACTAGGAAAACAAGGAATGCGGTCGTCGGCGGCTGCAGGCTCCTCGCAGGGTGACGTCGGAGGTCGGCGAAGTGGATCTTTGCCGATGTCGGCGACCCAGGTGACAGCAGGCGGGATTGCACCGAGCTACGGCTACTTCAAGTTTACGTCAGATAGGATTTTGGTGACTCCCCCGCTGGTCGGTCGACCCGACATCCTCACCTGGAAGGAGGCCATCGAGCCTCAGCTGGAGATGGCCGGGTTGATCAACTTTGCTCGCGGTACCGTGGCGCGCCAGCCGACCCCGACTTGCGAGCTGAGTTCCGCGCCGTGCAGCTGTCGACTTGGTAACGCCAACTTGGGGCAACCGACTTGGGGTAGTCGGCTGACAGACCTGCTGGTCGACCTGGTTGGTCGTCCAGGCCTGTTAGTCGACTTAGCTGGTCGACCAGGCCTGCTGGTCGACTTGGTGGTTGGTCGACCAGGCGTGAGGTCGACCTAGTGACCGACCATGAGTGACGTCGACCTGGAGTTGGTCGACGAGGGGTAGTGGTCGGCCAGGTGAGGTCGACTGGAGGTGGTCGTCGACTTGGGTGGTCGACGGGCACCTACAGGAGCAGCTGCTCGACCCGGTTGCCTGGTCGACCATGTTACCTGGGTGGCGAGGTTCTGCGAAGGCACGCGACGGTCGCCCAGGCGATGTTGGCGAGGACGACCTCGGTGGTGGTATCCAGAGGTCGACCTGGCAGATCAGATGCAGTCGTCAGCACGAGGTGGACTTGGTGTGTGCGCTGTGCAGGTGACGAAGCAGTGCACGCCACTGATCTACGAGCACCTACGAAGCGGGTGCGATGCTGTACTGCGGGAGCAACGCTGGCACGCCGTCGACTTGCGTTGTTGTCACGCCGTCGACCTGCAGCGTTGGCAAGCCGCGTCTCTGCACTGCTGGAGCGCGGTCGACCAAGTCGTGCTGGCACGCGGTCGACCATGCTGCGCTGGCAGTCGACCTGCTTGCATCCTAGCTCTGATGTAGTCTTGCCTAGCCAACTTCATTGTACTAGGGTTGTCAACTTTTCTCTAGTGAAACTCTTGCCAAATTGTCTTGTGAACTAGCAAGCAGTGTGTGCACTAGGAAAACGACTAAGGAACCGAGAACCCAGATATCTTACGAGCACTCGTGCCTAGCCCGTAGTCTAGCTCCCGTTATAGTAGTTATCTCCGCATGGTGCGGTGAGCATGGACGACACTCGACATACCTTTCAGACTAGTCGACTTAGTTGCACCTTACCTAAGTTGTTCATAGGCCGGCAGCTGTGCATTAGTCACCATGGTAGGAGCCATAGGTGACGCGAGGGTGGTGGACACCCTGGAGGCACGGCTGGAGAACGCGAGGAGAAAGCACGAGGCCAACGAGTATGGCGACCTGCCGTGGGCGGTCGTCGAGGCCAGGCTCCA